TTCCATCTCTTTACTCCGACGAAGGATTAACGTCCGAAACGTCAGTAAATTACAGTGTTAAATTTATCTTTTTACACAACTGTTTAAACAGCGACGTGACTCACACTAGTTTACCTATAGCTTCTATCAGCACGACAAAAATAGACTGACCAAAGTGTTATTCAGCGCGCTGGCCAAAAGGAACGAGGCACTTGTAGGGCACGCGCAAAACAGAGCATGCGCAAGTACGTAAGACAGCGCGCAAACTAATGACGTAATAACACGTATTGTGACGTATCAAATTAGTATAGAATAATTTTTCGTTCATTCAAGACATGAAATATTATCGAGAGTGAAAAAAAATTACTTCAAACATGGGAAACTGCTTTTCTTGTACAAAGAAATCAGATTCAGATAATGATATYATCAGACTACAGGTTGATAAAGAAACAAACAGAAAAACGTGGTTGAAAGAAGTCGGATCGGACTTGAGAAAACTAGCYACACCCGACGAGACAGAGAAAAGTTTGAAACATTTATACTTGWCTCCATCCAAAAGAGAGTCGGCTATCAGCCACCAACTTTGCGGGGAGAATGTCCACGCTAGCGCTGGAGAATTAGCTGCCAGTATATCTACACTGTCTTCGTTTTTTGACCACACCTGCGATGATTTGAGTCCAGAACTTTCCAAGTCAAATGAGAATGCTAAAGCTAATCTACAAGAAAAACGGGACGAAGATGTTCCTTCCGTTGCGTCGGAGGTGAAACAGCACATCCAGTCCGCCTTGATTCAAGAGCCAACAAAGCTGATTAATATCGACCAGAACAGTGAGACCGCAGACTGCGATGAAACCTCCGCTAGTTCTAATGATCTGGACGAGGCCAACAGACTGTTGCAGGATATTGATGCTATGATTGCTGATGACGAGCCTTCTGTGCAGCCTGTCGAGTCTCCCTTGATTCAAGAGCCAAGGAAGCAGGTTAACATTGACCAGAACAGTGAGACCGCAGACTGCGATGAAACCTTTGCTAGTTCCGATGATCTGGACGAAGCAAACAGACTGTTGCAGGATATTGATGCTATGGTTGCTGATGGTGAGCCTTCTGTGCAGCCTGTCGACGGTCCCTTGGATGCAAAGTCAAACAAAGTAGAAGGTACGAACAATAGCTATCACTGAATGCAAACATATATAAAATGATTTCAACTAGAATTAACCTAGAACAAACCTAGACTTAAACTAGAACAAAGTTTGATAAAACTCTGTAATACTTTAGGTTGAGCATTAGCGAATGGCCTAAAAAAGACCAAAATATAGTATTAAAGGACATCAATATTAGCATCCACAATTTGTTTTACAGTTCAATATAACATGTAATATCAATTCCTTTAAAAAGTAACGCTGATTTGACAGGAATCCTTTGAGCACATTTGATTTTTTATCAGACAGTTTGAACTAGATTTTTTTTTTCTTTTTTATATCATTTTGTAGATATGGATGCATCCGAGCCACATCCAAAGGATTCTGTCTCCAGTCTTTTCAACGACGAAGAAACAAAACTTATTGAGGAAATCTTGAGGGAAGACCAGCAGCGTGTCATGAASRACGCAGCAGCAGAGGACGAAATTGAACTCACCGCYGACCTCTGTTTGCATGGGACTTCCATTAGAATGGTAAGAAGTGAGMAAGCAGTYGTTAGGGTTCATAWTAGAGTGAACMTTGTATAAACAATGTACAATGAATTAGTGSTGTTRTTGTTCAAGGATCCTAGCAGCCGGCCTAACACCGAAGTAMCAGATGATGGTGACTCKGACGGCCTGGAGGAAGAMGATGATAATTCCGCATCTGAAGCAASCGAAGAAGACGACTCCTCTTCAGAAATGGACGGTGAAGACGCGATACTTAGAGACTTTCGAGGTAAACAGAAATCTAACGAAATACCATAAATGAATTACTCACTGTTCTAAAATAGATAAAATTGATATATATATATCTCTTTCCAAGCAAGACGTGTATCGTCAGCAGGCGCATAGCGTGGACATTTTGACTAGTACGAACATGTCAGGGTTCGCGTCTAATATTTTGGATGTGGGGGGCTAACGACCGCGAAAGGAGGGAGTATTATAGGAGTCTGGAACTTCCCCAGGAAATTTTGAAATATTAACTATTGGAAATGCGATTTCCAGCGTTTTGAGAGACATCGAGGACATATTATAAAAGGGATCACTAGGACGCACGTGCGTATATGCGTAAAGGACGCTACGCAACTGATCAGGAGGAATTAGCTTATACAAATAAAGAATTTTGAGAGATCCCAAACAGTTTAATTTAAATGTGTCATTTTGTAGATGACGCCATATTTTACGACGACGAAGAATCAGAGATGAGCCAAGATATACTGGGAGACGACCAGCATCGTGCCCACATCGACGCGTCACCCGAGGACGACATCGACCTTACCGTAGCTGGACCTGTGGCTGCTGGAGTCTTCCTTAAAAGAGGTTAGATACGACTGACAAGCAATTGCTTTGATATAATAATGTAAAATATAAATACTTGTTTTTGTTGCTAGTTCAAAGTGTCCACAAAATGATAATTAGTGTAGACACGAGAAGACTTCACGCTCGAGGTAAGCGAAAATCTGATAATATGCAAACAATTGAAGTGCAAAACGTTTACAATGGCTACAAGTCTAAAGAGATGATCACTGAAATTTTATAATGTCATGATATTTAGAGAGATGCAACTCAGTGAAATATTATATGTTTTTGTAGGTAACGATCTAGAAGAGTCAGAGATGTTTCGGGATATTTTGAGAGAAGATTCAGGAGAAGAAGACGAGCTAGAGGATACTGTATCTATATCTCTTCCTGCTGGGGTGCTTCATTCAACAGGTAAGAATTGAACAAGCAGACACGACTGACAAGCAACTACCTTGATTTACCAATGTTAACAATATAAATTTGTTTTTGTTGTTGTGCAAGGAGACGTCGATAGCGATGCAGAGCCCGGGGTGGACACAGAATCATTTGGCATTGACGACTTATTGTCAATCAATTCAGGATTTGAAGTGGATACGGCTGGCCTTCCAAGCTCAGAGACACGAATGGGAATCGAAGCAAATAAAAACAACAACGCACGACAAATGGAAGCTGCATTCAGCTCAGAGCTTGAGGAAGATCAAATAGATGCAATTGTTTCTCGTAAAATTGGAAGAGATCGCTCCCGTCAAAGACAAGACTCACGTGAAAGCCGTCAGAAGGTGTCTAAACATGACGAAGTTCAAGGTGAATAGATGCTAAACATATCATTTCAACCGCTTTCAATCCAAAATATGAATAAAAAGCTCAATCAATTTACCATAAGACAGACTTAGAAATTTATCTCAGAATGCAAAACTCCTACTTGGTGTAATATATTTTCTTTACAAGTAACTATAAGAATAGAGAGTTCCTCAAAGAGATGCACATCATTCCACTCAAAAAGCTTTCCTTTGTATTTTTGTGTAGGCTCCGTGTCAATCCAAAGAAATGCAGGTGATACCATCTCAAGTCATTACGACGAAGAGGAATTGAAGTTAATAGACGACATATTGGAAGCAACAGCAGCAGTTCCCACTGGAACTTCAATCGAAATGTCGGAAGAAGCAGATGTATCAACTGTAGTGGTATCAGACAAGCGTCCTCTCGAGGAAGTTCAAAACGATGCTGCTAAGACTGAAGCGAGAGAAGCAGCACCTACCTGTCCACAGATATCAGGTTTGCAAGAACAAAGCAACACAACGAGACAACAGTCAATCCTACGGCCGAAAACAAGGCGTGGTCGTGCAGAGTGCCAAGGTACATGATTGTCTAATAATTTCATGATTGACCTATTTGACCGCTCTTAGTCGAAATTATGAATAAAACTCGGTTTTAACACAGCAAGCTTTCCTTATATTGCTTCAGATGGTGGTTTTAACCTGCAAAATAAAGCGAATCTGTTATATTTTGCTGGTTGGACCCACCATCTGAAGATCCGGATCTGCACAAAATACCACACCAAACAAGAAGGGGTCATTCAGAAACAATTGATCGCTCAATCTCACGTCTGATAAAAGGTAATGGAGATACAGCAGATCCTGGTAAATAATGATATAACAGGACCTGTTTTACCGGTTTTAGTCAAACATAGAAAAAAAGAACAGGGCCAGATTGTTCAAAGACCGATTAGCGTTAATCCAGGGTTAACTCCATAGGTTTTCTAAGAGTTAAACCAGGATTAGCGCTAATCGGTCTTTGAACAACCCAGCTCTGAAGTTTATCAACATAAGGTTTTTTTGATGTCGCTACAGAATTTGGCGAGTCCGGCCAGCAGAGACAAGACCTGTATGAAATAAGACCCCAAACAAGACGGAGTCGTTTAGAAACGAGAGAGCACTCACTCCAACGGCCGAAAACAAGGCGCGGACGAACGGAAGCTCCAGGTACTAAAACGATAGTCTAATAATACCTTTTTTGACCTGTTTTACCGGTTTGTTGTCGAATCGAGTCAAGCCGAAAATATGAACTGTGTTTTACCATCATACACTGTGCTTATAACGTTTCAGAAATTGCCGAGTCCGACCAGCAGAGACAAGATCTGTACGAAATGCGACCACGGACTAGAAGGGGTCGTTTAGAAACACCAGAGCACACACTCACACGGCCTAAAACAAGGCGCGGACGCAAAGGAGACTATCCAGGTAAACTACGACCAATTCAACACAGACTCGATTGCCATTTAGTCAAAAATATGAGCAAAACTTCAAAGAAGAAATGCTGCGCTCAAAGTATGGCTAAGTTTGTCTAACTATAGACAGAGCAACTCTTTAGATAGACATTTAATAAGAAGTTCGTGTCATTCTTTAGGTCTGTCGGGTGTCGGTTCCTCGGTGGGTGCACATGGCGATTCCACGACGGTCTTTTACGATGACGAGGAATCAAATCTGATGCATGAGATTCTGCGAGAAGAGGAGACCAAACGGAGAAACGATGAAAGTTTCATGGACGAAATTGTGGCTACAGCAGAGTTGTCGAGATTCGAAAAAGCAGGAAGACAATGAAGTTACAAGAGGTAAAGGATGTGAAGTTTGCTCCAGGGACTGTTTGAATAATGGCAAGTTGAAAGTCGTATCTCAAAGCTCCTTAGTCACTATGTCCAGCTGAGTAGAGACTAGAACGACTCCATTTTACTTACTCACAGCGTGTTTTGCGTTGACAAAAACATCATTTTTGTACGTAATGCACATAACACACTTTAGTTTATATTTGAAAAATAAAAATACATTTTGTTTCAGAACATACAAGTCTCAGGCCATCAGGAAGCCTCGATATCAAGCTTGCACAAGAATCACTTACTTTATATAACTTTATATTTGAATTAAAAGTCAATTAATTATCTAATCGCATATTGATTAAGGTTTTACGGTTTTCTAGTTGGGAGGGTTATTGCACATTCCGTATTGACATAAAAACGTGGGGGGGAGGGGAGGGGACACTTCGATTAAGTATAGCTTGGCTCACACAAGCAACGCAATTGTACCAGTTCACACGTTCACCATGGAATACCACAATACGTACATTAGAATACGAAATACCACTAATATTTGAACACTAACGTATACGAGGTTGTAATAAATACGACATACAAAACATGCCAACATTATTGCTGTTCAAGTTTATATCTCTCGTTTATTTTTTATAGCTATTGTTGTTGTTGTTGTTGTTGTTGTCGTTGCTGCACAAAACGTTGTCCAGTGCTTGGGCAAGATGTAAAACGAGAAACATCGACTTCTACTTGAACAGTAACAAAGTTTTGATACAGAGGGTTTTTTGTATTTATTTGCCTTAAATGAATTACAGTTTAAATGCCTATATTCGTTTACCTTTCCTTTGGCAGACTTTGTTAGTTTGACTTTAAAGTTCGCTGCGCTAAGCATTGTGGGGAATTCTTGACCATTAAAGAAGTGACCAGGCGATATGTACTTTGTGACAATGTGGTACTTAAGCGTCTTGGGAGACTACAAGGAAACGATTTCTCAATGGACAATGATCTTAAAACATTAAAATATACTGTTTTAACAGTATTAAAATTTATAATTCTTTACAATATACAATACAATTTAAAAAAATGTAGCGAAAAAAACCGCCCTCACTTCGGCCTTGATACATGTTAACGACATAAACCGGAGGTACCTTAGGGATTGAAAAATATCCTTTTTGAATTTAACAAAAAGCAAGAAAATGTCCTTTTCTTGAGTCCAAGTGAATGGAGTCCCTTGATATTTGCCATCTAAATTCCTCCAGGGACCATAGGACTCTTTTCAATTCCTTTGTTTTGTATTGTTTGCACATGAGATTCTCGGGCAGTATTTCACTAATCATATGAACTTACCATCGATTTGAGGACATCATTTACCGGGGCAAATATGGTATAAAATCCAACACATAGATCCAGTTTAGTTTTGATATCCTTTTGCTGAAAAAAAATACAGTAAAATAAAAATAAAATAAATTTGTTTTTCTTTATTACGTTGTTACTGATTTGGGCAGAAAGACTGAAATACCTAGAGCATCTAAATCTATTGTCGAGGAGCGGCGCCTCGTCTTGATTCCTTTGTATGTGACTATTGATGCGTAATTCGCAAGTCGGCTATTTATGAGTTTTAGTAACAAAATTATTTGTAAAAAAACGTGATAAAATAACCAAAAAATAAACAAAACGAAACAAAACAAAAACGAAACGAAACAATACGAAAAACAACAACAAATGAACGTAGATCAACGTAGAATAGATAATTACGTAAAAAGTAGGATTTTTTATTAGTTATATTTAATGCACTAATAAAGAACTTACTTTCGCCAAAATATTGCTGAAGTTTGACAATTCTTTGACACCTTCAAGAGCTTGCATCACACTTGGTGAATACGTCTCAGGTAGTCGTGTAGGTACAAGAACCTGTAGAAAAGAATTCAATGCTTTGGTAATTATTTCTTTCAAATGTTTCTAATATAACCACTTGAAAATGGAATTGGTCTATATATAAATCTGTTGAATTGTAATCATCAAATGGACATATGCATGAAATTAATAGAAATTACATACCAAACGCATGGATATAGACAGCTAAGCAATAAACGATAGCTTGAAGGGGTTTACTGACGAAATAAACCGCGCGGGATGGTTGGGAGAACACGAGAAAAACTAAGTAAATCGCGAGCCGTCAGGGGAGTGAGGATTTACCTTTTCGATTGTTCTCCCTACCATCCCAAGCGGTTTATTTCTCCAGTAAACCACTTCAAGCTATCGATTATTGCTGTTATATTATAGGCGGCGTCCGCCGTTTAGACTCAAAAGTCGTTCATGAAGTCAGCAGGCTGGTTTACCGGCGAAATAAACCATAGCTTTTCTCATGAAATCCGCCAATCAACGCGAGTGTTAGAATTGAGCTATAATGTTAGTAAACATATCATACCGTGTCAATACCATGAATAACACCATTAGCGCCAACAATGTCCGGTATAGTGACAGCAGCTTGCTCATTCAGGGTGACCTTCAAAACAAACATCAAAATTCATTCAGCTCCTCCTAATGTTTCTTAATATCAACAAAACTGTGGACCAGCACGAATGCGCCATTCTGATTGGCTATYGAGATTACTTACACTCATTTGGGATAGTTTATGATAACAGTCGAGAAATAAAGAAAAAGTCAAAGATCGCCCCTATAGTAAAAGTAGCTCTAGAAAAGGAATCATCTTGTATTTTTTGACTCAATTTTTTGAGTTAAATCAACTCTCTGAAATTCAAAGTGATAAGTGATGATAATATGTCACGAACTTCAATAGCAGTTTTGCACCAAAGCGAGGCAGAATGGTGCAAAAACACACGAACAAATAGTCCTTTTGAACTTGTTTATGTTTTTGCACTGTTCTGGAAGATCATTTTTGTTGGTGATAAAAGACATAATTTTGATATTACTTGACACTTTTGTTCATTAGTGAGCTGTAGCAAAAAAGGTTGCCCGCTTTGGTTTCAACCGTAAAAAGGTCATACGAACAATCATAAAGTAGAAATGCATATACCGATTTGGTTATTGTAACCGTGAGCGGCTGTCCAGCTACAGGTATCAGCACGCTCTTGTTCTTGAAGTCACGCTTGAATATTGTAGTGTTGATGACATGGTGCCTGTTCATTGAAATAAGATGTAGAGACATATCTATAGCAATTTACATTAAACCTGGACATGGGTTCGCTGTTAAAGGCCCAGTTTGCACCACTATGCTTTGCGCGCCTCTGTTATTGTTATGATTTACACCAAAATACTTCTAGTATCCAAATATCACCCTAAAACGAATTTCAGATGGTTGAAAACTCTTATATTAGCGTTTAAAGTGCTTAGAAAAGTGAGATGGTCAAAGATTCGAAACACACAGTACAATTTATAGACTTTCGATAAACTGAAAATGGCCGCCTCCAGGCCCTTGCGGCCCCAAAAGCATATGGTGCACACTGGGCCTTTAACTTTTCACTGCCCAAAGAACAGGGAAAGAGAAAATATAAAAGTTTTCAGCACCATTTTCTTACGAACCCTTATGATGAAAAAATCGAAAAGATGGCAACGTGAAAGAGCTGGAAACTAGACCGCTGTTAAAGAGTTATTGTCCGTTGAGTTGAGAAAGAGAAAATATGAAAGTTTTCAGCACCCATTTTGTTACCAGCCATCACTCATATCAAATGGATTCCACAAAACTTGTGAGACAAGAACTGGAAGCTGCTTCTAAGTGGTTATCGTCCATAGAGTTGGAAAAGTGAAAAGAGGGACGTTTTAAGAACCCGTTATGTTACCTCCCAATCATCCCTGATATCAAAAGACCCAACAAAATCACTTTTGTAACGCAACTAAGGACAACCTAACGATGTTTTTTGTTTTGTTTTTTGGAGTCCGATTCTGAAGCCCGACAAATTGCTTAAAATTGAAGACCTACTCCGCGCCAGAAACTTGCCTTAAGTCGTCTTAAGACGCCCTAAGTTGCCTACGGACCCCACCTAATTATCATCCAAATTTCCTTAAGTCGCCTTTAGATGCCTTAAGTCACCAAGGGACCCAAACTTATTATAATCCAAATTTCCTTTAGTCGCCTTTAGACGCCCTAAGTCGCCAACGGACCTCACTTAATTATCATTCACTTGCGGTGACTTAAGGCGACTTTCTGGCCCGGAGTAGGCCTATGTACATCAACTTACTGTAATAAATATTTCAGTTTAACAGGCGAACTGGTCCAGTAGTCGCTGTCATTTTTGCTCAGCGCTGCTATTGCTTTAGAAGATGGYGCGAATACTGTGAAATTCTTGTCTTCCATTGACAGAAAAAATTCCATGTGTGCTTTCTATACAAACAGATTTGAAAAGGTAAGTTAGTGGCCATCAT